ACAATTAGCAACGCCCGAAAACATAAACACGAATACTTGGAGAGATACGATAATGAAAGAGGAGATCTACAGTGGAAGAGGGGGAAACTTCACACAATGAGGTCATTTAGGCTATGCTGCGCTGGTTCAAGCAAATGAGGGCAGCTAACGTTCGAATTTCTTGGTCGATGATTCAAGAAGTTGCTAAAACGTTCTCACAAGAATTTGTGGTTGCATATTTCCAGGCATCCAATCATTGGCTAGAGAAATTTAAAATCCGACATGAAATTTCCAAAATAGTTTTGTGTAGTGAATTCAATGAAGTGTCTGAAGAGTTTGCTCAAGACTTGATCGAAAAATTTTCCAACTTCAGCAAGGGCTTCAGCGATGACGACATTTTTAACGCTGACGAGTGCGGTCTCTTTTTCAAGACGATGCCTATCCAAAGCCTTGTTATAAAGGGTGACCAATGTACGAGTGGAAAACATTCCAAAGAACGTTTCACAGTTCTGTTCTGCGCTAACTCAAGTGAGGAGAAGCTAAAGCCCCTGGTCACTGGTAAATCAGCTAGACCACGTGCGTTCAGAAACCTAAATCCTGAAAACTTTCCAGACACCTGGAGTTCAAACCGATCTGCGTGCATGATTGCTGCCATATTCGTGGAGTTGATCAGGAGTATTGGCAAAGAAATGATGAAGAAAAAACGCTTCCCTATCCTAACAGTGGACAATTGTTCTAGTCACACCCATGTAAAAGATCTCACAAATATTACACTTAAGTTTTTTCCTGCAAGCATGACCTCACAAACTCAACTCAACTAAGGGATCATCAACATATTCAAAATGCATTACCGAGCCCAGCCCATGCAATGGGCTATATCAAAACTGCATACTGTTGATTCTCATGCGGAAGAAAATTCATCTGCTGCTTCAGTTAATGACTTGGATGCTGTGCTGTGGATAAATTCCACACCCTCTGTTTTGGACATCGTGTTCTCCAACGAAGAACTAATGGTCGACACCGTGACCATAGATGCACCACTTGGCCAAAGCGATCACACGATGCAGCTCTTTCGTTCCATCTGTTACTCGGACTGCATCTGTGAGAACAACTTGGAAAACTATGTCGTTACACATTACGATATCCTGTTCAACCTCTTCAAGAAACCGACTGGTCGTTCCTGGCCGAGAAGTCGCCCAATGTCGCCTAGATGTTGTTCGTCACCCAATTCACTGAGCTAGCGGCAAATGTGTCAGAAAGTAAGCTCTTTCGCCCGAAGCAAGTGAATTCGCTCCTGAGAAGTCGTAGTAGAAAATGCATGGCCTTAAGGGATTCAGCCTGACGCGCTTACAAAGTCTAGTAACCTGACCTGGGGTGCTTACACAACCCAACAAAATCACTGCGTCAAGTCGATCCGCAATGATAAACTCCAGTACCAACAGAAGTTAGCGGCGAAATTCAGTACAAATCCAAAATTGCTGTATAAACACGTCAACAAGCTCCGCAGAGTGCAGCGCGGGATCCCGGTTTTATGTGCAAAAGATGGCTTTGCGCAAACCGCACAAGATGCAGCTAACGTGCTTCGCCAACACTTCACCGATATTTTCCGGAGTGAACCATCATTTCATCCGCTTTTTACACAGCTTCGATCGACACCAGGGTTAAACCACATATTATTCACGGCAGCCAATGTAATGAAAACGCTAATGTCATTGCGCGTGCACAGCTCACCTGGCGTGGACGACATCAAACCGAAGGCATTGAAGACAGCGGCCATGAACCTTGCCGAACCATTAGCTCGGTTCTTTCAACGTTGTCTCAACGAAATGCAGGTTCCCACAATGCGGAAACATGGACTAGTCACTCTTAGTTATAAAAGTGGTAATCATACGGAGCCCTCGAACTACCGTCCAATCACTCTCCTCTCAGTTATATCCAAAATAATGGAACGTTTAATTGCAGAGGCGCTCATGGGATACCTTGAGAGCAACAACATCCTAGTGTCAAAGCAGCACGGATTCCGCCGAAATAGATCCTGCACTACAAACTTGCTGCTAGCTCGAGCAAGTTGGACAGAGTCAGCCGATGCCAGAGTGGGAGTCGACGTTGTCTACCTGGACTTCTCGAAGACGTTTGATCGTTTGAACCACCGCATTCTCCTTCACAAGCTTCGAAGCTATGAATTCGGTGACCCTATACTCGGTTGGATCGGTAACTTCAGCTTAATGTGAGAGTCCGCAGCTTCATTTCCGACCCAATTGACGTGCAGTATGGCATGCACCAAGGATCGGTACTGGGGCCACATTTATTTCTAACATTCATTAACGATCTTGCCAGCGTACTGCAGTCGAATTTCTTACTGTTTGTAGATGATGTCAACATTGGACATGATATCAGGACATCGGATGATCACATGGCATGGCAGAGCGATCTCGACAGGGCTTATATGTGGTCATACGATAACCGGCTCCAGTTCAATGTGGCGAAGTGCAAAGTCGTAAGCATACGCCATTAGCCTACCCATGAAGATCGACTTGGGAACCAGAAATTACAACGTGCTTCCAAAGAAAACGACCTCGGGGTGATCGTGCAGGACGATCTTGGTTGCTCGAGACAGGCTGAAAAGGCATCAGAAAGAGCCAGTCAAGATCTTGGACTCTTACGGAAGGCTTTCGGGAATTTTGAACCATCAATCCTTCCGCAAATGCTAAACGCCTACGTGAGGCCTCAAGATCCAGGCCTGGCGTCCCTGGCGCAAGCGCGACGTCGATGCACTTGAAGCTCCACAAACTCGTTAGAGAATTGTTTCATCTCTCCTGCTAACGCAGACTGCAGTCTCAGAGATGGTACAGTGGTGAATAACGACGTTAGCGAGGAGACCTAATGCTGGTTTACTTAATACTGACGAGCCCAACTCACCCATGTCGCAATCTGTTGCAGTTGAGCCAAAATACCAACCTGAGAGGCCATCAGCTCAAACTGGCTACGCACTACAGTCGGCTTGATTGTCGACGAAAGGTTTTCTCCCTCCATGTGTCCCGTGCCTGGAACGCCCTTCCGACTCACGTTATCGTTGCCCCTACATTAACGCTACTCAGAAAACACATTGATGAAACGCTTTCCAACTTAAATTAATTGATATAGCCCGTTCCAATTGGAGGACGAAATAACGCAAACCTAACCATGTGCTTAACGGCCCTCTCCGCAACGTGGCGGTGAGGATACATGTAGAAGTGTCCATGTGATTAGCCTGGATGTATCTAAACCAGAGTAACATACCAAATGAAGCAGCACACGCGTGAGCGCTGTCGTTTCCTTTTTTCTTTCTCACGCATTTACTGAACTATAACGGCACTTTATACTATTTTGTGTGTGCACATCCCATTCCCACTTCAAACTATCGTTATGCAGTAGTGCATTTAAATCGGTAGACGCTTAAAATAACGAGTTACTTATTCGATGATACTTTCTATTTTAATTTTTTCTCCAACCATCCTACGGGACTTGTTAAGTACATGTTTTTTACCCATGATAAATCATTGTTCAACAGAGGTTCGCCTGAAGCACATGACAGAAACTGTGTGCGTTCCTGAACTATGGCTCTTTAGATAAAGAGACTTGATCCTTCAAAATTGGATTTTGAGTACCTTTTGGATTACGACACGATACTACTCCTCCTAAAAATGACACACCAAGACTGGTGTCATCCTCCTGTGGACGCGTCAGGTGGAGATAGTCTGAGCTGGGGTGGAACTCGGGGCCTAGTGGTTCACGATGACGTCTTGATCACTATGGCTCTAAGATCCGTGAGCGACGCTTGACACAGCGGTAGGGAATTCAAAAACAGGTTTGGAATATCCGCCATGTGGTTGGATTGAAACACGCAATCTCTATTCAGACCTCGGTTCACTGTGAGGTAAACCTCTGTCATTCCGATCACGAGGACCGTATCCGAACTGGAGATGTTTCGATGTTGTTCCTCCCAACACTGATACCCCACGGCCGGTTTCGTCCTCTTTTTGACTCATCAGATGGAGATAGCTTGAGCTGGGGTGGAACTCGGGGACTAGTGGTTAACCGCTGTCGCCTTGACCACTAAGTCACTGTGATACGCGAGTAACGCTTGGCATAGCGGTTAGGAATTCAAAGACGGGTTTGAAGTACTCACCATGTGGTTGAATTGAGACACGCAATCTCTGCTGAGAAGTCAATTCGTATTGAAGCAAACCTCGACCATTCCAATCACCAGGACCGTTTCTGAAGCGGTGTTGTTCCTCCCGACACCGATACCCTACAATTTAGTCCTTGCAAGTATATGCACCACCAGCGTATGGTGGCATGCCCGTCGCCTAAACGATAGGAGGAATACATATACTCAGGATACGATTTGTGCGACTGATGGACGAACTACGTCGATCGCAATCGCAGATGACATGGACGAGGCAAGTGGAAAGATGGTCACGTACAAACCGTCTTCAAACCAATGTGATGACCAGGCATAAAGGCATCAGCAGTACGTCGGTACGCAGTACCGCTGCAAAGATGGCCCGGTTCCCTACGCAGGCTCGAACCCGCCACCTCGGGTTACAAGGCAGGCTTGTGATCCTTAAGGCCACGGGCCGACCAGAATGTTAATGCAAAACAGTGACAAATAAATTCCTGTAATTAATCGTTCCTATTTCGTGTTGATTTGACACTTGGTACCTTGCATGCTAACACAAAGAAAACAGAGAGGATAGGAAACGAATTATTTTCCAACTACAATTCGGCATGTGACTCAGATGCTTCGGTAAGTCTCCGGCAACTGGAAGACCGATCATGTTAAAGGTCTCCAAGTTCAGAGAACTTGCATCGTGTTCTTTGTCAGCTTAGATTCAGATGCTGCCGTCTTTCTGTAAAATACAGTCTCAACTTCGTTAGGATCAATAAGCGATCGCGATGCTCTAAACATGGATCTATGTATTTGGATGAAGCATCTAAGCAGCCTTGATAATATTGAGTGGAGAAGATTCGTCGTTGCTGATCAATTGGGTTTATTGAAATCGAGATGTAAATACAGAAGTATACTTTAAACATCACATTTGGCGGATACGTCAGTGGTTGATCAACAATTGGCAACATCGTTGAGATTCCGCGGTTATAAACAGTTTACATGGGTGTGTAGAGCTATCTGATTAGAAGGTATTCCCGTTTCCATATGCGTCTACTGAACCCGTATCGGAGATAATCTGGCCATGTCCCCACACACATTGAACAGGCATTGTGCGTGGTTGCGCGAGGCTGTGCGAAAGATGTGCACCTCACTGAGATGATAAGACAGCAGAACGTTTCCTCCCAAACTCGAAGTGTGCGCGCCGACGACAGCTTGAACTTCCGCGAGACCAGTGTGCAGGAAACCGCGAATCCCGCCAGCCTGTGAGTTGGGAGCGGGGCGAAAGTATGCAGTAAAGTAGTGTTTTGACGGGTGTCATTTCCCAGACTTAAGGAAGTGTACAAAATATAGTCCAATTTACGCCGCATGGCGCTCGGTAGCAGTGGACCCGGCATTGAAAAGTTCCAAATACATGCATGCGAATCTATAAAACTGACTGTGTCTGCTTACCCGGGTGGCCGATGTAGGTCTTTGCATATGCTTGGAGAGGGTGTACTCCTTCCTCTTACTAAGTTATTGGCTCGGAAGCAGATCATCTTCAGAATAGTTTAGCCCTTCTCTCATCAACTTTTCTGACAAACCGATCATACGCACATGAATTGAGGATGACACCTAGGGAAGTGTTTGACACTGTCCCGTAACGAGTTCATGCTTCTAGACTTCTGCCACCCTCTTCCACTCAGGCGAAGCCAGAGTGCAGCGTTGGATGCTTTGTAGTGGCAACGCTGAATTCATGTATCATGGCCATGCAGTCGCTCTACTGTGTCCAAGTATTGGACACTTAACAGAAATGCCCAACATAAATCCCACATTGCTTCACATAGGGATGAAACTATGACTGATACAGCGTAAAACGGTGTTCGAATCACTGCGTGAGTGCCCCACACATTTCACTACGCAGGAACAGTGGCGCGGAGTTTTAATCACTTCAGGTAGAGCGGCGTAGGACTACGGATGCAGCATACCGTTAGGAATGTAAACAACCGCTAGCACCAGTTCCAGTGGAGGACTGCATCCTATCTCACCGAATGGTGTTGGCTAGCAGTGGGGTGAACTGCGAATTAAGCAACAGTTTACAGTTCACTACAAGACGCTAGATAGGTTGGGTATAGTATCTCAAAAGACTGGTTTACCTGAACACAAGCTTAATAGATTTCCGGTTAAGAACATTACGATGTTTCTGAGTCCTCATGCGCTTGGACTCAGAGTCGAATTCTAATATCTGCTTCTAGTCATCAGATCCCATGACGCATCCAGCCGAGACAAACGCTCGAAATCCCTCTCTAATAAGGAAATCCACATTCGTCCAAAACCTGACGTTCCTTTTACAAAACATTCGATTCACTATAAGCATGCCATTAGATATGGGCGAAAAAATACCACAGCCATTGCTACGGTTATGTCAGCCCAGCTGTTAAGGATAGGGTGTTCTACGCCGCAATGAACAGCTTGCTGCCACGTGGATCAGACGTGTGGCCACTGCCCAATGGGGCCAGCGAAAGGCTGATCGTTTTCCATCACGAGTGCACACAAAGCATTGCCTCCATCTGGTGGGGATGTCGGTAACAGAACTTCGCTTACTGCATTAGACTATCCACTGAAACTAGACAACCCCTGTGGGGTAGATTGTGTTCCCCCGAATGTCTGCTGATCGTCCACGCATATGTGTATTACTGGATGGTGGCCTGATTCGTTGTGGCACGCAGATGGTATGCAAAATGACCCAAGAGCCTCATTGAAGGAATAACTCAGGTTAACTGAGGGTTTCATGAATTGGAAAGAGCAGCAGAAATGGCGAGCCCAAAGGTTCGTTCGATCAGCTGTTAAGTCTTTCACACAACAAGTGCGATTTTTATAGTCCCACTTTGATTAACCTTTCCCGCTTGGTTGTTAGTGCCTTATCCTCGCATTTGCCGATCGTTGCTGAATATACTTATCGCGATGGACAGGTGAGACAATACAAATGGTCCCATCGCAATTCGATCATGGTTGGCCAATCAAAGTGAACTGATGCTAGGAAGGAGCAACTGCATCCTATGTCCGAGAAGGAAAACACGAGGCTAACTGAACTGTGATCTAGCCATAAATCATAATCAAGCACACAGCGATAAATTCTGTCGAAATTTACGTGCATTTAACAATAAACGTACTTCCTTCAAATCGTTCGTCTCACGAACGAAAAAGAAGTCCAAGTTTCCCAAGTATGTATCCACAACCATGCCAGGCACACAAGAGAGTGGAGTCAAAAGACACCCATGTAGGTTGTTCTGAAACGCTGGATCAGTGCGTGATGAATCCACAGGCTGCTGAGTTTCAGAGCAGTCCATTGCTTTGCGACTACCGTAGTCGATCACACCACCCTACAGGAAAGATTGTTGATAGCATAGGATTAGTCCTGACACGCTAAGGACATGGAAGGCAGCAACGGGAAAATTGAGCACATAAATTACGCATGGGGAGGGGAAGGAATAAAATATGACACCACATGAAAATTTGAAGTAACTGCACTGACAGTGAGTTCATGGACAAATAAACAACAACATTCCGATCAATACGAACAGATAAGAAAAGGGACTAAGATACTGGCCAACCGACTCACCTCGAAGAGGCTTTCATCGCAAGTGGCAATGTCAACACCCAGGATGTCTGCATTCGATGAATGGGAGACAGTGTCCGATACGGGTCTGTAGGATGACGCGCAAGTGCGGGTAGCAGGAACCGGGACCGACACCATTCCGGCGGTCACAATCTGTGCGTAAAAAAGAAACATACGCAAGCGTATAGCACATCTACCCCTTTCAGATGCATACAAATAGACCAATAACTGAAATCAACTACAGTAGATCCGATGCCCACAACGGAGTCCAATTATGTTCATCGATCAACAGTGAGCTAAGATGATCCGCACTGAAGTTATGAAAATGCGCACAAAGCAACGAAACAGTTAAGACGAGAATTAGCCCTATACAACTAGAGAGGGAGAAGCTGCAGTATTATTGTAAAAGTTGCCTAATACATGCAAACACAAGGTGGCATAGGCGGTTGCTGGTCAGAATATTTGTTGAATTTGACAGATTTTTGTTGCAGACCTTAATACAGTTGCAATGTGAACGTGACAATCAACTCCTTGGTAAGTGAATTCTAGCCACGTAGAAAACGCGTCAGATATAGGACGACAGAGTAAGCACTGTGCGAGCATTTGTACTTTCAGTTGGCCGAGGAAGTTGATATCCAATCGGATTGTGCACCATGAAGAGGGTAACTTGCGATGGTGGTATTCTTTTAATCAGGAAGTCTGCAAGAACTGATATGAGTAGACAATGATGTCAACAAACTGCAGCCTTGGAATGCTGACATATCGAGATAACCTTTCCAATGATTGAAATGCTTATTTAATAGACCAGGACATATCAGAGGGGGAGCCATAGGGCACACAGGCGGTGGTAAACAACTAACACGGTGCAGGAGACAGAGGAGACTGCAAACGAGCAGCTTTATTATTTTCGTGAATAGTTCATTCATATGAAGTGACCAAGATACATCGTTGTCAACTGAAACACCTTGACACTTCGATGACGTGGAGTAGTACAGTCCATCAAGGCATTTCATAAAATGTTGACGACGATATCTTTTACGTAGAGAGAAAAGGACGCAGTTACGTTTTAATACACAGAGTGATAAACACCGGAGCTTTCGACCACAAGATTGTATTGTCTAAAAAGGTTTGTAATCTGACAGACCAGGCTACGGTCGGTTTTTGATGCCAAGCGTTTTATCATAGACACGTATTGAGCTATCTTAAGTGGAAAAAGGTATGATGGCAAAATGGCCCACAGAAGAACACCGGTGATTCTGGTGAGCCGCAAAAACTTTTTTCTTCTAAATCGGATAATGTGAAATAGCAGGTAGTCGATGGAAGTTTGAACACCGACATCAGGTAGAAAACTCAAAAGCAGCTCACAGTTTACACAAACGAAAAAATTACTGCACCCAAGAACACATAATCGCATTGATTTGAATCAGTTATTTAACGACGACAGTAACGAATGGACGAAGTGGACCGATGTGCCTTGCATAGACCTCGAACTCCGTTGCTTATTTGTGGCACCATGGAATGCTGCATCAGAGCTCGCCGCTGCTGCAACATCTGACACGTAGTAAGGACGCAAAGACAAGTGGGGCGTACCATGACTGCTTGATAATCAACGGCTCTATCCTCTCTTTTCTGTGTGAAATAGGAATACCTCCGAGCGACCGACTGCCGGACGACATAGTTTTCCTGGAGCCGAGTTGCGCCTATTTATAAGCGCTTCTGCTTAAGCTACCTGACAGATGGTTGGCAGCATCCGGTTCCGGATTTGCCTGTAACTGTGGCCAGCCACAGGACGCCTGCGTCGACAGATGGACCATGGGTGGTTTGCGCTGCACCACCCATAGCTCCAACCACACACCCCATATCCAGTGTAAACCCGAAGGAATAAGACCGGGACGCATGCGAATAAGAGCCACGTTTCATCAACGGAGCCGACCCACACTCCTTCACAGGCAAACACAAGCACGCTGTATTTGGGGAATCAAGTGCATACAAGGCGGTAGCTGGACCGTAGTCCGCTCCACGCTGAGCGCATGGAACCACTCTTTGACTCTAACACAGCCACGAGGACTGTGCACTCCGTCCCATCCAGCAACGACCAACTGTCTCCTAGAGCCAGTATGGACGAGGTAGTGGGTAATGGACAGTTAGGCACCTTGTCAACATGCACACCAAGCGCAGCCACAACGAGGATGTTAAACAACAGCCAATCACTTGAAACGTCGAGATCAAATAAAATAAATCGAATAATGCATACAGATACAGTGACATAACTCTTCACTAAATGAACGTATAAAATAAATTGGTTAAGAACCAATCCGCGATAACTTCAAGAGGTTAGAAAATGTATTTTAAGAAAATGTCACAAACGCGAAAATGTCATTGAAGTTAACTACAACTAGCTTAAATGACGTGTGTATGTTTATAGAAGGTAGTTCAGATAGACATTAATACAAGATAAAAAAAAGCATTAGGACAATATGGCTAACACACCACCTGAAATAAAGGGATTTAGTATGCAAGCACGCAGTTAGTAAATCGAATGCAGCGTAGCTCCAAACGCTGCGCCGGTTCTGCCTACGTTATCTGCAGGACCCGTCGTCCCTTTGGTGGTGGCCCAGAGTGGTCTCGCTCATGACTCACTAGGACGGCCTGACCCAGGCACCCGCGACCGCATGTGCTACAGCACCATGCGCTTACTGTCGATGGAGTACAACCCGTCGGCGCCTGTCGCTTCCGCAATAGCCGCTTTTTCTCTACATGCACAGCGTCTTTCTCTTGCACCTCGGCAACAGCCTTCGTGATCAGATCGCACCATGCATGCCGATCCACCGCTTTCACTTCCCATGACCTGCAATTACGATTCAAACGTGAGAGGCTCACATTGATCATGTCCTGGTAACGTAACTTCGGTTTCCCCACGTGCGGCTTGCCAATACTCAGTTGACCATATAATAGCTGCTTCGGTATCCGAGTCGAATCCATACGCCACACATGACCGAGCCACATCAGGTGTCACAGCAAAAGTATGCAGTCCACTACATACATTCCACTTCGGCGCAACACTTCCGTGTCCGAAACTCTGTCGCATCAACCAATGCGCAGAATCAGTCCCAGACATTGTTTATCGAACAGCTCGAGATATCGCACATCCCGCCGGTACATCGTCCACGCTTCGCTGCCGTATAGAAGAACGGACAGCACCACGGATTTGTACACCATCATCTTCGTTCCAACGGTAAGCCGATGGCTGTTCCACACTCGGTACTCTAGCTTCCCGAATGCCGCCGCTGCCTTCGACACGCGGATCCCAAGCTCCTGGTCAGTCGACATCACAGTCCCAAGGTAGCAAAAACGGGAGGTGGTTTCTAATACTTCAGCATCAATGCTAATTTGCCGCAATATTGAAGACTGCACCTCCGGTGAAGGCTGAAAGAGAAAGATGGTTTTGCTTATGTTTATGGTGAGGCCAAATTTGGGCGCTGTCGAAGCCAGAGCACTAGTCATGTGCTACAACTCATCCGCGCTGTGTGCAAACAACGCACAGTCGCCAGCTAACAACAACATACGGATAGTTATCTCACAGACTAGGGTTCTCGAAGTGAAACTATTGATGTTCAGCAAGCCACCATCAATATGGTGCTCCACACGAACACCTTAAGCACAAGCGGCATCAAACGCACAAGACATCATGGCATAGATATATATCAAACAGAGCAGGGGCTAAGACACAGCCTTGCATCACACCAGAGAAAACTGCAAAATCATCCGAGGTATGCCCACTCAGCTGCATCGTCGCCCGCATAACACTGCGCAGACATTTAATTAAACTTAGAAACTTACGCGGGCAACCAAACTTACCCAACACCAGCCACAATGTCTCGCGGTTCTCTGTTTCAAATGCCTGGGTGAAATCAACAAAAAGCGTGTACAAAGGCTCGTGTCGTTCTCTACATTTCTTCTGCAATTGACGAGCCGCAAACACCATATCGATTGTGCTGCGACCCGAACGGAATCCACATTGCTCTTCCGCCATATTCGGTTCCACAACCTGACTGACGAGGTGATTGAGCGGGATTCGAGCAATCACCTTGCCCACACAACTCAGCAAGTTGGTACCGAGATAATTCGTACAACATTGCTTGGTTCCTTGTACAGTTGTAGCACAAGGTCATCCTTCAGCTCCGGAGGCACCTCCTGCTCAATCGATACACGTTGCACCAAGTGGTGCAGCGCAGTCACCAACGCGGGTTCGCCGTGTTTCAATACTTCAGGCGGAATCCCGTCGGTACCGGCGCACTTGCCGTTTCGCAGCTGAGCAAGTGCTCTCTGAGTCTCATGCAGTGTCGGCGCGTCTGACAGACTCGCCCTCACATCGCGCTGCTTCAGGCCATTCAACCTCTGAACGGTTGTTCAAGAGACAGTCAAAGTGTTTCCGCCAGATCTGCAGTCTGTGCGTAGGTAGCGCCTGAACTACCACCGATCAGCGTCCTCAGCGGCTTCAACCTCGGTCCATACACCGCCTTCAAGAAGTCATAGAATTCCTTATGTTGGTAGCGTTCGGCGTACCATTCCATCTGCTTTGTTTGCTCCGTCCATCATGCATCTTAATGCGACGGAGCTCTCGGGTCAGTCGCCGTCGAAATTTACGAAACTGACTCTTCCTCCCCAAGTCACTGCGGTTTGCCACATGTCCAGCAAATGCTACATTCTTCTCCGATACCAATGCGCGAATCCACGCATTGTTATCATCAAACCAATCAGGCCGGTTACAGTTTGCGCGCCCGATGGTCTCCTTGGTAGCAGCTGTCAAATGGTCGTAAATATGGCGCCGGAGGTCGCCCACTGTGGCTATGCAGCCCACATCATCACACAGGCGTGCAGCCATCGCCTTCTCCAGCTCAATACGTTTCTCCACAGAACCGAGGGAGAGAAGGTCAAATCTACGCCAATTCACGGCGGGAATGCAATACGTACATTTACGAAAATGTGTATACAGTTTGGTCCGCACCAATTTATGATCAGTACCACACTCAGCTCCACGCAATACACGTGTCATGCGCACTTCACGCATATCACGCTGATGTACGATGACATAGTCCAGTAGGTGAGTGTGACCACTCCGTGGGTGCGTCCAAGTTGCTATATCGCTCGCA